CACAGTGCCTGCTTTCCTCTTGTACATCACCTACACACACACACACATGTCTGGTCAGCTATCCTTGTGGGGACTCTCCATAGGCCTAATGTTTTTTCTACTGTACAAACTGTATTTTCTATTGCCCTACACCAACCCTACCCCTAAACCTACCCCTCACAGGAAACTTTCTGCATTTTTAGATAAATAAAAAAAACTCATTCTGAATTATTTATAAGCCTTTTGAATTACGGGGACACTGAAAATGTCCTCATAAATCACCTTCTCATTGTAATACCTATGTCATACCCATGTTATTATACAAATTTGTGTCCTCATAAACCACATAAACACACACACACACACACACACACACACACACACACACAATGTAATGGTCTGGGTGTTTGTCCCTTTAAGACCTGATTCGGGGTTTCCTCTGCCCCTGCACTCTGTGTATATGCTGGGAAAAACACATTGTACTATCAATCGTATTGTTGCACCTTCCTTTTAAGACTAATAACACTAATACATTCGTTGATGGTGACCTGCATCGTGTGTTTCTTTCTTCCATAACGCACAAAAGGTTACAACTCATGGTACAAAATGCTGAAAAAACACACAGATTTTCACTTCACCTGACGTTAATTGATGGACTGGAGTGGTGTGGATTACTTGTGGATTACTGTGATGTTTTGAGTCTGCTATGTTAGCAATAATAACGTTACCTGCTTGACGGAAAGGGTTGCCAGGTTTTTTTTTTTTACAACAAAATCCGCCCAATTGCTACTCAAAAGTAGCCCAAATAACCGCGTTTATTTTACCGGGGGGGGAGATTTTTACCGCGTTGTGGGTCGCTTCAACCCGCGGCAACGATGATAAAGTAGCCCAATTCTACGCGAAACCCGCGGATTTGGCAACACTGCGACGGTAATGTCTACAGGACACGAGCGCTGTCACGTCGCGGCCACAACAGCTTGAAGTTGTGTAATTTGGCACGTTCTCCCTGCAACACTAATAGTAGTAAGGCTTTCCTCTGTGTATACATATCTTTACAAGTACAATTTTAGCTGGATTAATTGTGTCCCCTTCAAAAATTGCTCTTGAGAAATTATATGTGTATTGTCCCCCCCCCAACTGTTAGACAAAATGTACGCTCCTGCCTACAGTTGGGCAACAACAGTGCTGGAGGAAGTTAAGAGTCGGTGACCTTCAACGACTGACACTGTTTAAAGATTGACCAAGTGTGTTTGTGAATGTGAACTTTCAAAGCATTGTGTGGATGCTATTCAAGAGACATTTCACCCCAAATGAAACGTTTTATTGACAGTATTTTTAGCATTTAGTACTATAGGAATAAACAATCTAACGGTAATTTAGATTTAATATTGGGTGCAGTATTCATCAACTATGAAACATCATCACATTTCTTTATTTCACATACAGTAGTAAGTCTTCAGTACTGACTGCACTTAGGCTACTTGAATATTGTTGTTGGCTCATTATTAGTTAATCTGCCCTGAAAGGCTCATATTTACTCTTGACAGTGTCCTTTTGATCATAACAACCATGAAACAAGCCAAAGCAAATGTATCATTATAGACAATATTGCCTGGTCATTTCGCTGACCACAGGGAGCAGCCTCAGCTCATTTGTTTTGAGTGAAACTGAGCCATAGCATTGGTTGTCCTGAGCTGACCTTCTCTTTTTTTGTCAGATACTATAGTTCTGCTATTAACTGTGTGGATTATGCAATGACTTTCAGGGAGGCCGGATTTTTTTAGAAGGGATTTCTGAATGTAATTTATGGGACACAATCTGATTCATCTCGCGAAATGCTTTTTTATGTGACACCAGTATTGTTTTAGTATCATTGAAATTTCTGCATTTTTAGATAAATAAAAAAAACTCATTCTGAATTATTTATAAGCCTTTTGAATTACGGGGACACTGAAAATGTCCTCATAAATCACCTTCTCATTGTAATACCTATGTCATACCCATGTTATTATACAAATTTGTGTCCTCATAAACCACATAAACACACACACACACACACACACACACACACACACACACAATGTAATGGTCTGGGTGTTTGTCCCTTTAAGACCTGATTCGGGGTCTCCTCTGCCCCTGCACTCATGTGTATATGCTGGGAAAAACACATTGTACTATCTATCGTTTTGTTGCACCTTCCTATAACACTAATACATTCGTTGATGGTGACCTGCATCGTGTGTTTCTTTCTTAACCATAACGCACAAAAGGTTACAACAAGTCCGGTGAGAGAATATTTGTGGAACTCCAGTGATAAGGCTGTCAAGGCTATTTTATTCACTTAAACACCGGATGAAGTGATTACTTTCTCTTTAATACATGATGCCAATGTATTTTTTCGATGAGTCTGCTATGTTAGCAATAATAACGTTACCTGCTTGACGGAAAGGGTTGCCAGGTTTTTTTTTTTTACAACAAAATCCGCCCAATTGCTACTCAAAAGTAGCCCAAATAACCGCGTTTATTTTACCGGGGGGGGAGATTTTTACCGCGTTGTGGGTCGCTTCAACCCGCGGCAACGATGATAAAGTAGCCCAATTCTACGCGAAACCCGCGGATTTGGCAACACTGCGACGGTAATGTCTACAGGACACGAGCGCTGTCACGTCGCGGCCACAACAGCTTGAAGTTGTGTAATTTGGCACGTTCTCCCTGCAACACTAATAGTAGTAAGGCTTTCCTCTGTGTATACATATCTTTACAAGTACTTTTTTTTACAACAAAATCCGCCCAATTGCTACTCAAAAGTAGCCCAAATAACCGCGTTTATTTTACCGGGGGGGGGAGATTTTTACCGCGTTGTGGGTCGCTTCAACCCGCGGCAACGATGATAAAGTAGCCCAATTCTACGCGAAACCCGCGGATTTGGCAACACTGCGACGGTAATGTCTACAGGACACGAGCGCCGTCACGTCGCGGCCACAACAGCTTGAAGTTGTGTAATTTGGCACGTTCTCCCTGCAACACTAATAGTAGTAAGGCTTTCCTCTGTGTATACATATCTTTTCAAGTACAATTTTAGCTGGATTAATTGTGTCCCCTTCAAAAATTGCTCTTGAGAAATTATATGTGTATTGTCCCCCCCCCAACTGTTAGACAAAATGTACGCTCCTGCCTACAGTTGGGCAACAACAGTGCTGGAGGAAGTTAAGAGTCGGTGACCTTCAACGACTGACACTGTTTAAAGATTGACCAAGTGTGTTTGTGAATGTGAACTTTCAAAGCATTGTGTGGATGCTATTCAAGAGACATTTCACCCCAAATGAAACGTTTTATTGACAGTATTTTTAGCATTTAGTACTATAGGAATAAACAATCTAACGGTAATTTAGATTTAATATTGGGTGCAGTATTCATCAACTATGAAACATCATCACATTTCTTTATTTCACATACAGTAGTAAGTCTTCAGTACTGACTGCACTTAGGCTACTTGAATATTGTTGTTGGCTCATTATTAGTTAATCTGCCCTGAAAGGCTCATATTTACTCTTGACAGTGTCCTTTTGATCATAACAACCATGAAACAAGCCAAAGCAAATGTATCATTATAGACAATATTGCCTGGTCATTTCGCTGACCACAGGGAGCAGCCTCAGCTCATTTGTTTTGAGTGAAACTGAGCCATAGCATTGGTTGTCCTGAGCTGACCTTCTCTTTTTTTGTCAGATACTATAGTTCTGCTATTAACTGTGTGGATTATGCAATGACTTTCAGGAAGGCCGGATTTTTTTAGAAGGGATTTCTGAATGTAATTTATGGGACACAATCTGATTCATCTCGCAAAATGCTTTTTTATGTGACACCAGTATTGTTTTAGTATCATTGAAATGCTCTTATAGTTTTTTTTTTATTAGTTATAGTTTATTATTTTTACATTTTGAATTAGTTTTTATTTTTCTATTTTCTATTTTAATTTTGTTTTGTTTAGTGTTTTTTTTGCTTTTGGTTTTTTAAAATTAATTTTCAATTCATGTTTAGTTTTAGTTATTTTAGTTGATTATATTTAGCTGAAATTAATTACATTTATAGATTTTGTATATTTTATTTTATTCCAGTTACCATTTATTTTGAGGCCGGATTTTTTTAGAAGGGATTTCTGAATGTAATTTATGGGACACAATCTGATTCATCTCGCGAAATGCTTTTTTATGTGACACCAGTATTGTTTTAGTATCATTGAAATGCTCTTATAGTTTTTTTTTATTAGTTATAGTTTATTATTTTTACATTTTGAATTAGTTTTTATTTTTCTATTTTCTATTTTAATTTTGTTTTGTTTAGTGTTTTTTTTGCTTTTGTTTTTTTTTAATTAATTTTCAATTCATGTTTAGTTTTAGTTATTTTAGTTGATTATATTTAGCTGAAATTAATTACATTTATAGATTTTGTATATTTTATTTTATTCCAGTTACCATTTATTTTATTTCAAGTCACATTATTATTATTATTATTTTAATGGTTTTAGTTTTAAAATAATTTTAGTTAAAATAGCCGTGTGACACCTCTGGAACAGTAAGGCTAAATATCAATATCATATTCTAAATAGAATTTTTCATAAAGATGCACTACTCTTTAATACATTTCTGATAAGCTAGTTTATAATAAATTGATAAATTATGACAGTACTTAAGAGCAGCATACTGTTGCTGTGGTTACTTCTAAAATAATTTGATTCTCATCTGAAATATAGCACTGAAAATAAATGTATTATGTTCCAAACAAACTGTCGGGTAAAAACTCTATCTAATGTGGAGCAGTAAGTATCATCTGATTCTGTTAAATGTGTTCCAGTGCGTAGACCTGCCATCTGCCTCTACACACGAGTGCCACGTGCGAAGATGGGGGTGTACAAATAGATGAAACCGACCAATCACGGCTCAGATTCTCAGGGATTGGATTTACTTTCCGTCCAATCAGCCACTGGATTCTCATCTGTCAGCCAATGGGAGCGTAGTCTGCGATGGCTTTTATCCAGCACGTGTAGAAATGCACATGTTGTCCCTCGCTGTAAAGTGACGTTGGTGGAGAAGTGAAGAGGAGAGGAGTCTAAATATTCTCTCAGGACAATAGTGCGTACGACCAAAACCTCGGCACACAATCTTAATTAAGCAATAACGTGTATGAAACTAGTTTTAGACGTACTAACAGCACGTCAGGTTGTGTCAGTGGCGCTGGACAGCAGGTTGTTGTGGTACCGACCCAGAAACGAACCACCATTAAGGTAAGGGTATGTTTTATATTTAAAAATGATTAAAGATGATCTGTTATACTCCAGAAATGCTTCACGTGTTGATCATCGCGCTTGATGTGTGTTTACATCATGTGGAGCTGAATGATCCCTTTGTTTTTTTCTTCAGTCTGCTATTAAATATCAACCCCATGATGTCAAAATTACGATTACAATTGATTTACAAAGTAGGAAATTAAGTTATTACAATCCGATACTATTGAATGTGTGGAGTTCATCAGTATCGCTTTGTGTTTTGTGTTTGTTGTCAATGTGTTTTTTTTAAAATCACTTTTTAGTTATTTTTCAATTTTATGTAAAGAGAGAATATTCATTACTGTTTACTGGTTTAACAGCTGACATGATTACATTTATGGATGATTATGCAGCACAGCACACATGGAACAAGACCTTAGTGAACACAACATAAAATAATAATGCTCTTTAAACGCTTAAAGGGGTCATATGATGTTGCTAAAAAGAAAATTATTTGGTGTAATTTATCACTTTTTAGTTATTTTTCAATTTTATGTAAAGAATATTCATTACTGTTTACTGGTTTAACAGCTGACATGATTACATTTATGGATGATTATGCAGCACAGCACACATGGAACAAGACCTTAGTGAACACAACATAAAATAATGATGCTCTTTAAACGCTTAAAGGGGTCATATGATGTTGCTAAAAAGAAAATTATTTGGTGTAATGAAACGTGTTTATGCGGTTTAAGGTAAAAAAAAAACATTATTTTCCACATACTGTACATTATTGTTTCTCCTCTATGCGCGCCTTTCTGAAACGTGTCAATTTTTACAAAGCTCATCGGTCTGAAAAGCGAGGTGTGTTCTGATTGGCCAGCTATCCAGTGCGTTGTGATTGGCCGAATACCTCAAACGTGTGACGGAAATGTTACGCCCCTCACCATACTGTGATGCCCTGTCCCAGCGAAGAGACAAAACCCATTATAAACAAGGCATTTGTTGCATCCAGTGGGGACATAGTTATGGATTATAATGACTTATACTGTCTTTTTAGGCGTTGTGTTGCATCACGCTGCGTAAACATAAAACCATGTCTGCGTTTGTGATCGGAGAAACTACAAATGCTACTCTACACTGCTCAAAACTCGCGTTTGAATCATCAGTGGCAAATCCTTTAAATATGAAAACGTACTTACAGTCTGTGAGTCAGAACAGCCGGCATTGTAGTCTACTCTCCCAGGATCAGGAAACAGTCTTCCATAAAATGCGCTGGACACATCTGAGTATTTGAGTTGAACTGTTCTGGAACAGTATTGTACATTTACAACACCCGTCCCACCCGACACACAGCTTCTTCAGTC